CCCCTTTCTGCAGCTGACCGCGTGATCACGACTACAGGACTAGATGTAATATATCATGAAAAACGCTTACCAACATTCGACGCCAGAGTATTCTATAAGTATGATGGAGATGGTGGACTCCTGCTGTTGGACACAGGTGAAAGTGACTCACTCGCAGTGGACCGCGAACACCTCCACCAGCTGAGGAAAATGGGCGTAGTAGTGGGCTCATTGTGGCAGGTGTGGTGGTGGAGCCGCAGGAGTAGTGTGGAGTTTCTCAGTGGTGGTGGAGCAGCAGTAGTGGTGGAGCTGAGGTTGTAGGTGAGTTTCTAGTGGTGGTGAGTCTGAGTGTGTGTGAGACAGCTGTGTTGGACGGGTGGCGGATCACAACCTGGTGAGTGAATACAGAATCTCAACCGCTGCGAGTACCTCATTTGGTTTTGTTGCATTGCTAAGCAATGCATCATTTCATAGAACGCTCGCTATCATATGTGCATACATGTAGGTGAATCTTATTACTCCTCGGATTAGTATCTTGAGATCCAAGCAGTTTCCCACTTGTATCTACACACGGCTCACCTCTTCCTTCCGGAAGGGGAAGTATGATAGCGAAGAGTGGCAACAGACCTGCAGGACTCTGCTCTGACACTGATCCTGAGAGGGATTTGTCTCCCCTCATCTCTAGATCCACTGACACACCAGACTTTCATACCTGCGAGTGCCGTTGAGAAAGCGGTTCGTGGAAAGAGCAGATGCACGATCAAAGAGATTTTACATTAGGGCATCTCTGAAAAGGACAGTGTGTAGTATATTATATTACCTAATGTATCGCGCATCAGTATACAGTCTTTTCTCAGAGTATACGTATTGTGACTGGGCTGTTTACTGATTGCTTCTTATGTGCTTCAGACTTTGGTGTATATTATTATAGTAAACAACACACATGTATGTAGACTGTCCATACCATGCTGGTGATAGGGTTCTTCATCCAGAGTGCATGAGACACTCAATATGGGTAGGTTGTGTTTGCAGTAGCACTACACACACAGCGTGCTCCCCTCTGCAGCTCCACGGTAGGGCCTCTGTGGTTGACAACATATTAATCCGTGGTGGCTTGAGGTTGCACAGATAATCGTGATTATAATAAACTCCAGACCAAAGCAGGTCTTACTTGTCACAGTTTCTCACTCTCACATTATTCAGTGCTACACCTACACAGCATCATGCATCCCCATAATTCGTTGCTCTGCATTATAGAGCATGTCAACGATTGGAGAAAAGAGTTCTGACGTACGACACTTACGTCTTCTCCTCCGTCCCTCTCAGAAAGGCATGGTCCGCTGAGCAGCCCATGCGAGCGCAGCCATTACCACTTGTGAGTAGTAGGCGAAGCAGAGTCGACCAGTTCTTCTGAGCCCCATGTTCATGGTTCAAAAACTGGCTCCGTATTATTCCGCGATCTGTTTTGAGCGCGCACGGGCGCCTGGCCGGGACGGTCGGCGCAGGATTTGCGCATGCGCGCTCGGACGATTGACTCGTTCTTGCACTACTAATGCGCATCGGAAAGAGATTACTTGGCGAAGGTCTATGGAGAAGCAAACCCTGGCGGCCGAAGAAGCACCTACTACTCAGGTTGGTCATAGAAGAAGGAGTGGCATGAGTCGAGGAGGTAATGAGACTCGTGAAATGTTACAGAGTGACAGCAGTGGGGCACGGAACACTGCCTACTTTACACACTGAACGATAACCAGTACAACAGTTCCCACTCCGTGTACTCCTATCGCTGTGTCTCGGGGGAAGAGGAATGGACTCGGCTACCAGATAACCCTTTCGAGGGGTTTTGTCTGGTAGTTATTGATGGTCTTCTGACTAGTGTGGGTGGCTTGAAGAGCGCGGTCCCCTAACACCCTCCTCAGTCTCACAGGGGTAGCGTGAAGGAGTGGTCACAGATTTTCCCTCCCATGCCCACACCACGTAGCCACACAGCTTGCGCTACGCATGAACAGCTCTGATAGTTGCGGAGGTCGTGGACCATATTGCCTAACGCCGTGGAAGTTATGATAGTGACACGAGCAGTGGAGACCAGTGGCTCCTCTCCGGAGAAGTGTTGGTGTTGACAACAGCTGTGTGTGGAGACTCCTCTACGTGGGAGGATGTTCTGGGACAACGCGTCAGCTTATTCAGTCTTAGCTGGCCCTCTTCCTGGCTCCTCGCTTCGTACAATACACTTGGATCCAGAGTTCAGCGAGCACTTTTTGTCGAGTCGCAAACTGTGGAGACAAGTCAGCATTTACCCAGTGACAACCGACACTTGTCTCGTTCCGTGGTGACCGGCGGCTGGCTGTGGGTTGAGTTGATCATTTTGCTCACAACTCGACTGCTGATGTCTACAGATATGACCCACACACTGACTCTTGGACTGTGGCTACTCAGATGAAGAACAAGAGATCATACTGCTTTGCTGTCAATCTTACTGATGACCACCTGGTTGTTGTTGGAGGTATAACAGAGTACCTTCGCTCGAGAAAAACTTCAGAAGTTGAAATTTTTGAATGATGAACACATTATTATTCTGTGATTAATATTATTACAGAATGCCACCTAAAATAATGATATTCCTGCATGCGTATTGTTGAAGCGCTGAACATTGGACGGAAGTATGCACCTTCAGGTTCAACTATAACTGCACTCAAGAGGTCAAGGTTCAACATTATATTGTTCATGGCTAAAATGTAACGTAAATTTCTTTTGTTAGACCTCTCGTTATCTCCCCTACTAATGTGATAAACAGCAGTCGGCACCACAGATGAGGGATTTACTGTGTGGTATAATAGATAAAGACACACAGTGAAAACAAATACCAGCTGTAATGTAGCTCTCAGCATCTAGATCGGATATTCATTTTACTTGGAATGCACGCGGAGTAAAAAAATAAAAAATATTCACGTAGAAAATACGATGTGATGCCCAGTAGAATGTACAAATGTGATTTTCATGTCAGACCAGAGCCTACCATTAACTTGGAGGCTATGTAACTCATCTCCTTCAGTGGAGGTTATAAAGAAGAAGAAGAAGAAGTCCGCTGTCCGCTCGTCTGTTACCACGTTTTCTGCGACTACGCCAACGAAACTGCGATATAAACGAGTTCTTCGCTACACCGGCTTCATTTTTTAAGCACATCCTAACGAAGCCGCGCATGCGCACTTACACGACGTACGAACGATAATAATAGAAAAATCGGCCCGTTGCGACGACTAGGTTGGCTCGCTCCCGCTCGCCAATAATACATTGTCAACATGAAAATTTAGGAGCACAATGCATCAAGATCTTAGTTGGTCCAGAGCAATTTGAATCTGGTCGGCCATAAGTTTCAGTTTGCTCTTCCTCAGAGTTGCTATGAGGCTCTCCCACGACACCTCCACCCCCTTCCCTTGCAGCCACTCCCTCAGAACCTCCATTGCCATTTCCTCTGGGTCTTCACGTACCCTCTTTCTGATAATCTCCATCTTGTTCCCGAGGTCATCTTGGAGGAGAAATGTCCCGAAAACTTTGATTTTGGGTGCAACTCGGGAATGTAAATCGACTTCAAGCAGTTGGGGGAGATTTGGTTTCTCAGCTGATACTGTGGAGACAAAGGGAGTTGTTATCAATAGGTTGAAAACATGCTGGAAAAGGTGTCAGGGTCTTGGATGGCCTATTTTTGCCGCAATATGCTCAAACTCATAAAGGCAAATCTATCAAAGTCAGTCAGTTGGTTGATCACCTATGAGAATAACCGAGGGAATAACTCTTAAGTGAAATTTGAGTATACTTTTCTCTCTAAAAGTATTGACAATTTCTGTGACAGATCAAAATACACACTTGATATAGGAGGAGCTGCGGTGGCTTTTTTCTGTCGTCTTGGGTTTGCCTCCTCTTCAGGACCTGCGAGGAGAAACAGTAGCTGTCACTGTAGCTGGAAGCATACTTGAATGAATCTCGGGGTGTAGCTAAACCTAAGGCAAGGTGAAACATATCAAAATCACCACTCTTTCAATGAGCTGGGACTCGAACCTAATGGAAAATGCTCCCAAGGCAGAATACCAGGGCTGCTAAGTAAATACCAACACAACACAAGGCAAAGGCAAACCTCTATGCTATGAAACCTTTCTCTCAGTATGACAAACGTACCTTCTGCAGAAGTGGGGAGCCACATTTCCTGGTCAGGAGTGAGAGGATGGGCCACGCAGTCTGGACTGAAGGAGCAGGTGAGAAGGCTGTGAGTGTCGTGGGGAATGTAGCCATCCTTCACGGCTTCTCTCAAGATTGCTGTTGGATCTGAAATGTAGGAGTTAATTAAAGGCTTACTGCGACCTGATCCGCTCGCTCTGTGTACCTTGGGCACAGAAGT